TTGAGCCTGGCCGATATGCAGATCAAAAAAGGAGGAGGACATTGCCAGGAATCCGATTTCCACTCACGAGGATGAGATCAAATTGACGCCGGCCGAGGTGCTGTATCAGGCAATTCTGCCCAACCTACCGCAATATATGATCGCGCTGCTTAAGGTCCTGTTGGCGGCATCACCCACCTCCAAGTCCAAAACGGAAAGCATCAACATAATGGCCGATGTGCTGCCTAAAGATGCCCCTGACGGCCACACAGTCTACGAAGCTAACAGTAGACATGGGCCGCCACAAGGAGATCATCGTGAAGGCAGTGTCGGCCATCATTCTGCTCTACCTGAAACACTTCAAGATAAACCATGTCTACCAGTTTGAGTTTATGTCCCAGCACCTAGTCTTTGCCAACTGCATCCCGCTCGTCCTAAAGTTCTTTAACCAAACGATCACCGAGTACGTGAACACCAAGAACTCCATTCCGCTGTTGGACTTTCCATCCTGCGTCATTGGCGAACAGCCGGATTTGAGCGGCGACAGCTTTGTTTACGGCGGAGAGATGTCCGACAAGCCGTACTCATGGCGGAACGTTTTCTCCTGCATCAACCTGCTGCGGATTCTTAATAAGCTGATCAAGTGGAAGCACTCGCGCGTCATGATGCTGGTGGTGTTCAAGTCGGCCCCGATCCTGAAGAAGACACTCAAGGTGCGCCACGCCATGATGCAGCTGTACGTACTCAAGCTGTTAAAGATGCAGACCAAGTACTTGGGCCGGCAGTGGCGGAAGTCGAATATGAAGACCATGAGTGCAATATACTCTAAGGTGCGGCATCGCCTGAACGACGACTGGGCGTTTGGAAATGACCTGGAATCGCGTCCGTGGGACTTCCAGGCGGAGGAGTGCACGCTGCGGGCCTGCGTGGACCGGTTCAATCTGCGACGCTATCCGGAGGCCACACAGAAGTGCGGTAATAATGGCACCGCGGCCCAGAATGCGGAGAATGCCCAGCAATCGAATATGATGGCGGGCAATAATGGTATAGGCAATAACGGATCCGATGTCAATGGCTATGGGAATAATGGCGGCGGAGGCGGTGGCAACAACGGCGGTCACAATCAGCAGCAGCAGCAGCAGCTTAACGATTACGGCGTGGAGGGCGGTTTTCCCAGCGACGAGATCCTAACTCACTCGGACTTTGCCTTCTTTGGCCACTCCGGGTGGTGGGATCGCAAGGTCGAGCTGACGGACTACTTCAAGGCCAACTATGCGGTATGGTTGGAGGAGGAGGTCTACAATAGTCAAACCGACTGGGATGCCCTCTAATCCCATGGGTGAGTAGTGAGTGGCTTGGATTACTTGCCAACTTACTAATTAAGCTTTTACTCTTTATGGCAGCTCCTGTAACATGCGCATCTTATAAGCAAAAAGTTATTACCATAATTGTAAGCATAATAAAGATACATTGATATAATCCATGTAGCCCGCGACATAGGATGCGAAGAACTCACTGAAATTGGCAATAAATTGGCAAGTCACGACGGACTCTCATCCATTTCACTAACTTAAAACAAACTAACTAACTAGCCTACATGCCTGTATATTTAACTATTATATTTTATATTTCTGTATTTATTATTTGTGTTTTGAGCGAAATAAACAAATTTAATAGTTCGAAAACAGCTTGGGTCACCTTTCGGTTTTGTTTATTTATTATTTGTGTGTTTTGTTTCGCACAAGAAAAAATATATAGAGTTCTATTAGGTCATAGGTCTTAGCACTAGTTTTTAAATTGATATTTACAAGGTGCGCATACATATAAATATATCCATTATATAGTACAATAACTCCTTCGACTTAGACTCCAACGCCCAAATTCCACATGTGACGTAATAGTAAACAATACAAGTGTGTAATAATAATAGTTAGCACAGCTAAATATATATAAATATATGAATTCCTGAACCGGGTTACATCATTTCACAATCTTGGCTACACAGAGAGACCATGTCACCACCCATAATAACTACCTTAATGCGAAAAATAAAGACTAACTAATTGAAAGTTGAACATAATATATGTATGTCCGGGCGGGTCGATTTCTTTTTGTACAGAAAATGTTACAGATTAAGTCATTAAGACCTTATATTACATGAATTTTTAGTGCTTTTGACTGACTTAAGGAAAATGTTTTAATATTTAGGAAAACAACGTAGCTGTTCCTTCCTAAAGGTAAACCTATTGTTGATAAAAAGTTGCAAGTTTAGTATTTTTGTCAATGAAAAACCGAGCCACCCTTTAAATTTACTTACAAAATAAACCCTACTGTACAAAGGAAACTAATTCAAACAATTTTTGAACCATTTAACATCCGTTTCTCGGAACTTTCTATATACAGGAGTGCCTTAAAAATAGCTAGTGAATTGAAATCCCTTGAATTTATATGAATTACAATACATAGCAATTTCTGTGGAAGGTTCCTGCAAATCTACAATATATCCATAATTGTACAATGTGTATATTACGTACTACTGTTCCATGGGACAAGCTGTGGGCAACAAAGTGTTGTTGTTACTCGGCCCCACATAGAGCATCCCAAAGCGCTTCTGCTGCGGTGGACAGGCGACTGGAGCCGGTGCTGGAACCTCGCATCGCTCCTCAAAGTAGTGTACGATGCGCTGAAGCACGAACTTGAAGATCTTGTCCTTGGCAATCTCGCCGTTGAGGAATGTTATGTCCTTGCAGTCACGGTACTCGCTGAAGTTCTTTTCGTAGTGCGGCCACACACACAGCTCGAAGTAGCCGGTGACATCTGGGGGATCGTATGTCCGCTTGCTGCGCCGCTCGAAGCACTTTTCGTAGGGCAGATGGAAGTGGTACTTAAGGTTGCACAGAGCCAGCAATTCCGGCTGATTGAATATCATAAAGCCCTCGACCAGGAGGTTGATCTTCTTGTCTCTCAGCTGGGCTGCTATCTGGGCATTGATGCGCATGATATGCGCCGCCTGCTGCTGCTGCTGATGGAGCTGTTGCTGCTGCTGGGAATGATGGTTATGGTGATGATGGTGCCGTTGCTGCTGCTGCTGGGTGCTGCTGTGGGGCATAGTGGTAGGCCCCCCATTACCCTGCTTGTAGTAGTTCGCATTGTAGTTGTACTGCTGCTGGAACTGAAGGGCGTAGTGCTCGAAATTTGCATAGGTAACCAGTTGTCCCGGCGGCTCTTGGGCCACGTGGCGACCCTTGATGATATTCGCAATGTCGTTAAGCATCTTGGCCATGTCCAGCGAGGTGATTAGTTCAAAGTTGATTGCATTCAGCGATTCATTGCGTTGATGTCGCTTGTCCTCCACGGGTAGAAAGTAGTCATCCTGCGAAATCAGCCGCACCTCTCCAATCGTGTATGGAGAGTTCCACAGCGGCGCTCCACTCAGACCCTTGAAGTAGTCGTGCAGACTGTGGGCCAGAGTCGTCTTGCCACCACAGGTGACGCCCGAGATTCCAATTACCAACCACTGCGGCATGTTGCTATCGACTGATTTGGCTGCCACTGGTGCTGCTCTTCCCTGTTTGTCAGCGGAATCGTTGGCACGCCCTCCCGTCTACTGATAACCTCTGCCTTTAATCGCGCTTCACCTTCAGGCTCCAGATGTGGTAGAAGGAGAACGCGGCGATGCCGAGGAGATCACCCCGAATACAGTGGGGACTATGAAGGCGTATTTCACGGTGGAAAGAAGAGCCGAATGGGATTACCTGTTTAAAAAAAGAGAAGGATACTGAGTTTCAGGTAGGACTTTGGCTAGCCATGGATTACTAGAATGTGTATGTGTATCTGAAGAGAGAGTTCTATAATACATATAAAAACCAACATAAATTTCTAAAATAAAGTTGACTTATCTGGCTGAATGTATTTCCCCAATGTCAAAAACAAGCGCTTAATAATACCAAAATTCTAAATCGACACTTGATTCTCTCTGTGTATCGAATGCATTTATAGGGTGTTTCTACAGATTAGATTTTGTATTTTAAGACCATTTATTAAAAGTAAACACATTTGAATGGTTACGGAATAAAGTTCATAATTCATGTTAACAAAATTTATCTGCTAAAAGCAAAAGTTATTACCTGTGGTTGGGTAAAAGTTATAACTGAAAATGAGTAATACCTACACACATGTCGGTAAAAATGTTTGGGTGCTGATACACCCAAGCAAGGGATATCGTGTTTATGTGTTATTTGGTTATCTGAATTTCAGGAATTATTATATTATTATTTTCCTAACTCTTTCACACACCTAGGTCAACGTGTAAGTGGAAGTAATAAGGTTTTAAAGAGCTGTTAACGATTAAATATAGTATAATGTTCGTTAATTAGCCGAACTACTGTTGATTGTTAATAACAAAAACTAATACAAGAATGTGTGCTAAATTTAAACAATTAAGCGAGAAGCTGTACTTCGTGCATCACAGTTTGACCTTGAGAGAGCTCGATACTCGGAGCCGCATTCCAGGTAAGCCCCGGCTTTGGTTTGCCACCTGCCGGGATCTGGGAGATCGCTTTCCGCCTCCGCCTTCCACACACACACACACACACACACACACACACCGAAACACACATGCCGTGCCGTGACCAATTTGCGCTGCGGCGTCACTTTAATTACTGCACAAAAGCCGCCCAGATTATCCAATAAAACTAATAACGCCTGGACATGAGACTGAGGACTAGCTTCCAACTCACCTTCATCGATGAGCATAAAAGGCAGCACCGCCACCCAAAAGAAGTAGTAGAAAAACACGGCGATTGCGGCTATCAAAATGATTTTTTCCGAGTTGCGCATTCGAAGCCATAAATAGCCCTGATATTCCCAGAAATGTTGTGGTTTCTCGTTCCAAAACGACACGCGACCGGCGACGATTTCAGCACAATACTGCTCATGGAATGGGCTCCCGCTGCAGACGACTCTCCTCTGTCCCCAATGCGTCAAATTCTCACAAAGTTCCTTTTCCCGGATTCTCCTGGTTGGTAAACAAAACAAACAAGTGCGTGCTCCAAAAAATCTTGAAATTGGTGTTGTAATCAGTGTGGCCGGCTGCAATAGCGGTGCGGAATATACCAAAAATCGAACACCGTGGAATTTTTTATCGAAAAACCTATCGATTTCGTTTTTATTTTGATAAATCCCCTAACCTTTTGTTTAATCTTTATAAAATTTGGGCTTACATACAAATTTGATAAAACGTTTTACTGCCTTTTAAGGGATTTGATTCTAAATCAAATATATATATATATATAAAATACCGCAGCAATATTAATACCGCACATCAGCTGATCGGGCGCAGTACAAAACAACACCAATTAAAAACATAAATTTCGATGATTGAAAAATGGTCAAGAAGGCGCAAGTGAAGCGGCGGCCATGGGTCAAGAACCTGTACTCGAACCGGGAGTACCCGGACAACTACACGGACCCCAGCTTCCTCAAGGATCTGCGCACGAACCTGCATGTCCGGATATACACGTACCGCGAGGCGGCAGCCGGCATCACAGTGCTGAACAACCAGATCTCCTGTATTACCGGCTTCCTGATACTTTACCAGCTCCTGCTCAGTGACAGCGTCGCACCCACCACGATCCTGGTGCCCAGTTGCGGGGTGACGGGGCTCGGCTACCTTTTTTACCGAGGCAGAAGCCTGAGCTGGGCCCTGCTGGGTGAGGATTCGAAGACCCTGGTCACGGTGGTCCTATTTGGATACCTTTTCTCGCCGATGCTCCATACTCTCACGCAGGCCATCAGCACGGATACCATCTACACAATGACCTTCTTCGTCCTGCTAGCCAATCTGATGTTCAGTCACTATGGGCTGGATGTGGCCATGGTCTCGAAGGTAGGACTCTCAAAGACATGTTATTTGCTTAATTAATAATGATTTCTAGGCCATTTCCCTAAATGCTGCAATTTTTGGAGCTATTTGCCTGGCCTCCGCCTGCCAACATCCTATCATGCCTTTGTACTCCTTGTCGAGGCTGCCGTCTTCTTTGTCCTGTACCCAATCATTACGGAGGCCAAGTGGAACGCCCAATGCATGGTGCCCATCTTTAGCATTTGCTGCTTGGCCCTGTATTGGATATCCCATCCCGTGCTCTACCTCTACGCCATAACCACGATATTCATTAACTTTGTCTGCCCGCTGATATTTGTGTGGCAGCAAAAATACAAGTTTAACATCCACGGTCCCTGGGATGAGGCGATCGTGGAGGAGAACACCGACGAGAACATCGATGCGAACTTATAGCAGCAACTAAGCTTCTCAGAGCAGAAGCTGCCACTTGGTCAGCCAGGTGGCGGCGATGTCGGGGAGCACAGTCACTAATCACCAACCTTTGCACATGTTTAATGTTTTGTTGATAGTTTATTCTTTTCTATGTTTATGTCTTTGAGATTTCATTCCAAGAGATGTTCCATTTTATGTAGTTTTTTACTTTGTAGGTAGGTCTTTAATAAATTATTTTTTTCTTAGAATATTACAAAATAAATAATTTGCCATCAATTCGTAAATTTTTTTGTTTTAATAAAGAAACAACAGTTGTTTTCGGTTTTTTAACCTAAAATTATAATATA